CTAAGAATGGCCCCGACATGACATTTATTTTTTTAAATAAATTTCAAATAAACGAACGTTTTAAACAAAGATTGATGTAGAGTAAAAATCAGATTTGAATGTGATTTGATTCCTGTGTTTTTTCTATTCATTTGTTTTGATCCCTTTGTAGATTTTGCTGGAACCTCGTCCCTGTATTGCGGAATAAATTTTTACTATTTTATTGTTTAAAAATCATCTCAGCATTATCAAACAAACCCATACAGGTAACTATAATGAATGATTATCTGTGCTTTTTGAGATGGTCCCCACTATAACCTGTAGTGGTATTGGTATTTAACATCAGCGTCAAAATCGTATTGACTTTCCTAACACGTCTATTAGATTTGTTGGTTGAAAAAAAAAGCACACACGAAACTGACAATGATAGTAAAAAGCGAAACAAAGAAAACCAAATTAAAAAAAATCTATACAAAAACTAAACAAAGTAAAATCCAAATTTCTGTTTTCTTTGAATTAATCTTGATCCTCTACTAACAAAAGCTGGTCTAATCTAAAGCGTGTTTGTCAATTTGTTTATTGATATTCTGATTATGAATTACGCTGGTTTATAAGTTACCATTCTATAATTATCAACTATTATGTGTTATCAAAATTTACCTTATATAAGTTGGTGATAAGACTTCACTACGTTTTATTATTATATTCTGTTATACTATAAAACATTAGTCGGTTAAAGAGCTCTAAATTAAAGAACTCATGTTCTGTGTTTATTTGTATATAGGAAAAAACCGACTTGAAATAACTATTACTTTACTTTACTTTTAATTTATCAACAGCAAATATAGACAATTGTCTAAGTACTCTTATAGTTTTCGAACGTGTGGCTAACGTTTTAAACATGAATTAAAAACGAGACCGAGATTGCACCAATAATTTTGACGTTTGGGCTGAAATAGAAATGGTGGTTGGGTCAATTTATCATATAACAGGATAAAAACAAGATGACACAACAGCGAGAAATTTTACTTTAACAACAGCAAATATAGACAATTGTCTAAGTACTCTTATAGTTTTCGAACTTGTGGCTAACGTTTTAAACATGAATTAAAAACGAGACCGAGATTGCACCAATAATTTTGACGTTTGGGCTGAAATAGAAATGGTGGTTGGGTCAATTTATCATATATCAGGATAAAAACAAGATGACACAACAGCGAGAAATTTTACTTTAACAACAGCAAATATAGACAATTGTCTAGTAAGTACTCTATATTTTTCTAACTGTACTTTAACAACAGCAAATATAGACAATTGTCTAAGTACTCTATAGTTTTCTGACTGTACTTTAACAATATCAAATATAGACAATTGTCTAAGTACTCTGTAGTTTTCGAAATGGTGGCTAACGTTTTAAAAATAAATTAAAAAAGAGAACGAGATTGCACCAATAATTTTGACGTTTGGACTGAAAGAGAACTTGATGGTGGTTGGGTCATTTTATCATATATCAGTATAAAGACAAGATGACACAACAGCGAGATGAAGATATAATATTTCCTCGGTAATGAAGGCATGTTTGTTTTCAAGGTGGGTGTACACTTATTTAGGGTAGACGTTTACACTATGAAATTATCATTTATAAACAATTTGGAAATAATTTGTATTCGCATTTTGAAGAGGGAGTTCGAGGTAAATAAATTAATCATTTTATTTATTTATTTGGTTTTTTGTTTACTTTTTTATTACATATACTTATTTATTTACTTATTCTAGTATGTACACAAAAGTATATAGAAGTACATGTATAACTAATCGGCCTAACTAATCAATTGAAAAGTCAATCACGTTAAGTGCCAATCTGCCTAACAATCAGGCAGTGGTGACAACATGACAAACAAAAACCCACTCAAGTTGACATTAATATAATATATGTTCAAATTGTATAATGGTGCATGAATATAACATTCGTTTCCTTTTCCTGTTCTGGTAATTCAAGATATAATTTGGTTGAAATGCACCGGCTAGAAATTAACAATTAAGGGGTGCTAACTCCGTAATTTTCTATCATTCTAACCAAAAGTTATCTAGAGATTTCTCGAATTGCCAGACACGCAGAAACAAAAGACCTACAATTTCTAACTCAGGATAAGGGTAACTTCAAAATAGGATGGTAAGGTCGGGGAGGGGGGGGGAGGGGGGTATTTTCGGTCACGTTTTGAAATTTTTCTTCATTTTCTTATCCCATGGGCTCCAAGATCTTATGATAGGGAAATGATTATTTAATCCAGTCTTCGTGCTTTTAAGTATCTCAATCTTTCCGAAATGTGCTTTGTTCAAACTTAGAGCTTACCTATTCCGCAACTAAATGCAAATCCTATTTCAAGGATTTCCTTTCGAAGTTTTCAGTAGATTCTCTGATATTCGACGTTTCGATTTTGTCACTACCCCATTCTATATAATTGTTTGTTCCTTTATAGATTGGCCGAGATGCAATTTGGTGTTTCAAAACCAATTTCTATTTATAATATTCATTCTTTCTAGTTATGAAAATTATACGAGAGTTTATCTACATTTTTCTTCGGAAATAGTTGTTTTCCTGGTAATTATATTATGACTCACAGTCCTTGCATTCGTTTTTCGTTAATGAGCAAACTAACCACTTAAACATGTTAAAAATATTTTTTAAAACAACGATTTTCAAAAAATCGGAACATGCCAATCTTTCAATTGGAACTGCGGAAGTTTTCAAAATATCATACAATAAGATGGTCATTAGCGAGATATTATCAAAAGTTAATTATACATTTACCAATCGTCATTTAGAGATCTTTAAGTAAGCGATTTCCCTTTAGTAATGTACATGTGTGTTAAATATTGACAAAAATAATTATCAAAATTAGTTTCTCGTGTATATGAAAGTGTATTTATAAAATTTAAATGTCCAAATGTTGGTATTTTCTGTGTAATTAGAATTTTATTTGTTAAAGGTCTTATAAATCTATCTTATTTAAACGGTGTTTGATCCGAGTGACCATTCATATAGAAAGTAAAGTTTGTTAGAGGGTAAGGACGTCATTTGTTTATTTTATATATATTATTCATTCCACAGACTATGAGGTTTTTTGATATTTACGTTTGTCACCTCTTACTACTGCACACAGACATATGATGATTTTACGAATTTGATTCACAATCCTCTAGCATAAATGACCATAACAACATCTCAATAAGATTGTGTACATATTTCGTATGTGTACACACCTTTTTGTTAAATTATGGAAAAAGGAATTTAACTTGAAAATAGTATGACCAATTCAGTGGTACTATCATGTGCCGTCCATGAAAAACATTCACATGAAATATACAAAAAAACAACATCCGATAATTTTGCAAACATTTTGATAATATCAAAATCGTGATAATATTTACTCTTTTAGTATATTAAGTATAAATACATACGTTGTATAAAAATAGTAGGAGTAATTCGCCGTTTCCAAATTTAATGCATTCTGGGTAATATTTTCAAAAGTGTACAACAAAACGTAGTGATTGTTAAAAAAAACATGGTTAACAATAGAAATTAAAACAATGACGTGACGTTTTGAGATTACCCATAGTCATTTAGATTCTAAAAGGGCGAATAGGGTTGTATTGCTTCAGATGGACAAGTTTAAATGATACACGCCCAACCAGAGTTGCTATTTTATCAAAGACGGGTTTTGCTGATTTAGGGTGCATTCTATACAAATGTGATCATAGTTTACGAATTTTCATTGAAAAAATTCAAGAAAATATAAGAGATAAACACATTTTCTTATTTTCAGTTAGAATTCTAGATTCTTTTCAATAATTTGTATGTGAAATCTTATATAACTTTGTGACTTTAAAATTCTCCCTTGTACTATTACAACTTAGTCTAGGAAAACATGGTTTATATACATATACAAGAGGCTGTGAACTAGCTTCCAGTAACTGCGTGTACTCTTTGTGTTTTTTTTTTTGTTAGTTGTTTGTATTAAATATTGATCTGATAACTAAGTCAAATCTTTTCTAGATAATTTTTACAGTTTGTTCTCACGTTTTGCGGATGCACCACTGTCCAAAGTTATTGGAGAGTTGAGCGCTGATAATAATTTTAACGCCGCCACATTGTTTATGTGACTGTCCCAAGTCAGGTTGTCGATGTTTACCATCTATCCTTATTGAGGGTGTGGATGGTGGTTTACAGAATAGAGAATAATGGGCAAAAAATATAAAGAATAGAGAAAAATGGACCAAAAAAATAAAGAATAGACAATAATGAGGTGCTAAAATATAAAGGATAGAGAATAATGGGCAAAACGCATAAAGAATAGAGAAAACTGGCCTAAAAATTAAAGAATACAAAAATGTTATATGCTATTGGTTCACTCATCGTTGAATTCATTACGAACGCCCTTATGTTGGTAATGAATGGATCTAAAACAATTGTTTAAGATTAAATATTATAATAATAAATGTGTTTGAAAATTGATAATTGATTAATTCAATAAAATTACTGAAGGATTGACCATATGTTTACAAAATTAATTTTCATATCTCCTTCCATGTCAAAGTTACAATTAACACTCATCAGATTAATTTAGTTTGTGCAATTTTAACTATCAATATCTTTTGCTCGCTAAGTATATACTACTTTATTGAAGATGACCTTTATCTCAATATACGTCTAAATTACCATTAAAATTCAATATTTTATTCATGGTGAAACACTTCATCAGCAAACAGGGTATTTTTGGATGCACGACAATATATCTCTCGTCTTACCCAAAGAAATCACTAAAAAAACAAAACACATCGGTACAAGTTAATTCACATAACCTTAAATTTGATCAAGTTTGAAATGATAACAGGGGTTTCCAGGCAAAGGATGAACAATATTTTTGTTTTTGTTTCCGGTCATTAAAATTAAAATACTGAAAACTAAACTTTTGGTACAAAATTGTTTAAACAAATATAGGGTTGAACTCAGAGATAAACAATCTATATATATTTCAGGTACATTAGAAATGTTTTTGTTGAGTAGATATTGATATGGAGATTACAGAACAATTCTTTGCTTTCAAAAAGTAAGTTAATTCAGTTTTCCTGCACGTGACAGGGGCGTTCGACTCCAATCTTAATTGACAAGGATTGTCAGTTTTCCTATCGGTTTTGTGTTAGGGTTTATTCACGTAAACGTCATGTTGCTTGTATTACTGGGCCATACACCGGTGTCATTTACAAATACCAGTATGAATTTATGTATTGCATTTCTGTGTTTTACATTTTAATTATTTTCAGGTTTAGACGATAATTCTTGTAGAAAAGCAATTACTTCCTCTGAAAGAGATTTGTGCAGTCACAGTTTTGTATAATTTAGCACGAGTTTTTGTTTTTTGTTTTTAGTTTTTGTAGGAAGGATTTTGAGCTCACGGGTGAGCTCGGATGCGTTTATTGACACGCTGTACTGTTCACGCAACTTTTGATTTCCTATTTTCAACTACTTTTGTCATCAAAATTATTGGCTAATAACAAAATGAGGGGTTGATGTCGTTTAGTATCAAAATATATAACCGCTGTTATGTTCAGACATATTCCAAAATTACCACTGAACCTTAAATGCGGTTTTCAAATATAAAAAAAAATGTTGTATTGAATAGATGTCATTTGATAATTTGTATCGTTTGACTGCTGTCTCTTTGTCTCATTTTATTCATATAAAGCTTTATACATCTTTCATAGGATAGACATTACAGAAAATGTATCATGTGTATATAAATACACCCTGAACTAACTACATGTCATGAAATTTGTAAAATAGTGATAATATGATATCTTTTACTCTATTGTAGAATCAAGACGGCCATCTTGTTTCCATAGCAACGTTGCATAGTTTGCACCGCATTAAAAAATCTGCGGCTACCTTTTTCAGTGATGAGAATAACCAAAAGCGAAAAGTTCAAAAATAGCATTATATATATTTTATCGTTTTTGCTAATATGCATATACTACATTCATTATAATACTCGAATTTCATACATTCCAATAAAACAAATAAAGGAACGTGACAAATTTTCCACCTTCATATCTTCGAAATACTCTGAAAATAATGGAACATTACACCTAGAAGGCTACTTTGAGGGTGGCACATTCGGAAAAATATCTGTTATGGACATTAAAAACTTATCGTTTTTATCTCTGTGGAATAAGCATTCTACAATTTTGTACCAAGAAAGAAATGAACCAATGACAGTTTCAAAGAAAATAACAGGCTGTCCAGGATTTATCCCGTACCCTAAAGTGAAAATGAATAAAATGGATGAAATTAATGAGAGTGAAAAGAAAAATCTACCGGACTGGGTGTTATTTCAACAGGACAGAACAGTCGAAAATGTCAACTGCAGGCGTCTATTTGATAATAACACATTAGAACAAAACAAAACCTTAAACCATATGTTGAAACAACCATTTGCAGAGATAACGTCTTCGTCATACATAAATATAAGCAAAGACTGCGAAAAATACAAACAAGACAGAGGATATATAACATCTTCCCTGACAGAAGAGGAAGAAAATTTCCCAATAGCTTATAGCATTCTTGTCTTTAAAGGCATACAACAAGTCGAAATGTTATTAAGATCAATTTATCGTCCTCAAAACGTATATTGTATACATTGTGATACAAAAGCTGATCCCAATTTCAAACTGGCACTTCAGAGTATAACTAGTTGTTTCGAAAATGTGTTCATATCTTCAAGATCTTTCAATGTAGTATGGGGGACAGTTGGAGTTTTATTACCGGAAATTGCATGCATGAAAGATCTCTGGAAACACAAGAAGTGGAAATATTTTATTAATTTGACTGGCCAAGAATTTCCATTGAGAACAAATTTAGAGTTAGTAAAAATATTAAAAAGTTATAATGGAGCCAACGACATAGAAAGTACTGTAAAAAGGTAAGTGAAAATAGTTGGAATGTTTATTTTTACTATGAACATTAATGATTTGTTTTTATATGACTCTAAATGTGTATCAACTCTCATGCTTTCAGTCAATCTATGTTTACATATACATTTGTGCTACTATAAACTTTTTTATGTGATATAAAAAGAAGATGTGGTGAATGACACATAAATTAACAACTTAGGTCACCATACGACCTTCAACAATGAGCAAAGCCCATACCGCATAGTCAGTTATAAAAGGCCCCGAAATGACAAATATAAAACAATTCAAACGAGAAAACTTAATACATGTTTTAATGAAATTACCGATATTTTCTACTTCATATAATTCTTGTTTTTGATGTTGTCTAGCGAAAAACGTAATCGTTGACAGTCCATGCTTCCATCCCATTTTATGGCGAATAGAAAACCTACCTCTTTTCCCTGCGTTACTCAGTTATTTCCTAATAAACGTATTATTATTAGAATTTTAGTATTCTACGTTACGAAAGAATGTTCTATCATAATAGGGCACCCATTATGACCGTTCATTGATAAATAATATTTAATTTTAAATAAAATGAAATATCTTCCTTGAGTAATTACTATGTCGAAAACTAATTGTATCAATACAAGTTTAAAATTTTGAGAGAGAGATATCTCGTAACCTTTTTGTCATGATTATTCATCTGCAAATTTATAATTGAGGGTCTGAATAGGGTCCATCATTTCTGTATTCTTTAATTTTCTAGGCCATTTTTCTGTATTCTTTATACTTTTTGTCAATCATTCTCCATTCTTTATAATTTAGCCCCTCATTATTCTCTAATTTCCTTATTTCTTTGTCTTTTGGTTTTTTTTTCTATTCTTTATAGTCTTGCCCATTATTCTCTATTCTGTAAACCCCTATCCAAACCCTCATAATTAAGTATTATAGTCAACTTGGACATGTTGGATCAATAACCTTTGAAAATATTTTTAGCCATAGGAATTACCATCTCTTGTTTTCAGAAAGTGATAATATCGGTTTCTTTTTCTATTTCCAAATCTGTTGCAAGTCTACAAGTAATTATGATATATGATTTTTTTGGTCAAAAATTATAAAAATAGTAATAAGTCATAGGAGAATTTCTTTTTAATTAATATATAATCCCTCCGACTATAAATGCTATTCCCGAAGCTTCTATAAGATTAGCACGCCTGACTAGGACATATAATTTTCTCTTTTTAAATATTCATTTGAATATTAAAGGGAAGTCTGTGGTAAACGTCCTTGAGATAGCAATCCTGCGACTTAGAAAGATAGACATCTAGAGATATTCATGAATATACACAGTCTTCTAAAATGAATATTAAGTGTCTGTATTATATATACATGTACCAAACCCTAAATCGCCGGAGTCTTAGAAAAGCTGTGAATGTATTTAACAGAGATTATCAAAGAGCTGACTGTAATGTAATACCAGATTTCCTAAATAATAAAAAACATAGAGATTTAACAAATGATAACAACCAAAGACGACGGTGCTCAACTTTGCTACAACTAGGAATGATTAAGTTTGGTCTTTACTCGTCCTTTTTTTTTATTTTCATCTGTTAAATAATGAAAAGTATTTAGAAAAAAACGTATCAAGTACAATCAAAACAGTAATGAAAGCTCGAAGTATTAACTCGGTTGATAAGAAACTCTGCCGTTTTACACTCTAATATCGGCAGCTGTCCAGTACATTATATGCAGACCTTTATCAGTAAATCTTTTGAATAACATGTAATTCATCTTCAAAAGAAATAACTGAAAAAAAATCGAAACTTTTAGCTTTTTCAACAAATGTTTAGTGTAAAGCTGGATATCCTGAAATATACTTGTATAATTATTTTGCTGTAGCAAAAAATATAAACGTAAGCACCAGGTACTTGTTTGTTCAATAATTTGAAATCCACTGCGTATAACGATATATTTTTTTCAGTCTTTCTTACTTTCTTTTTGTTTGTTTTTTGTTTGCTCAGGTTTATATTTTTGCAACAGCGAAATTATCATACAAGTATATTTCAGGATGTCCAGCTTTACACAAAACATGAAGGCAAATGGAAAAAGTTTAATTGAAAAAACAAAAAAACCTTCGATGTCGATCCTAAAAAAGCCATTTGCTTAATATACATTGCCATATTGGCTTGCCAATAGAAGTCCTGTGGAATATATAAAGTATGCCAGTCATTTTACGTCTCAATAGTTTAAGTTGTATATAACATTTTGTCTAATAAACACAAAAGTTAAAAAAAAAAACACTGTAAAACTTTCATAAATATCAGAATTATGTGTAAACAATAAGCTGAACACGAGTGTTAAATTATGATTAAAATACATGGTCATTTGTTATTCTTTTTTTCAGTGAACAGAATTATTTAATCGAAACAGTGTTTAATTACATTTCAGAGCTAACAAAGCTAGATGGAAAAATGTACTTCCACCACCCCATGACATTCGTCCTGTAAAAGGGTCCGTGCATGTTGCTGTTACCAGAGGATTTGTAGAATACCTCCTCTTTGATAATATAGCTAAGGCTTTTTTCAATTGGACTCGAAGTGTTAAAGTTCCTGACGAAGTGTTTTTCTCTACACTCAACCATAATCCGCAGTTGAATATTCCAGGCTCATACAAGGGTAAACTATAATATATTTAGCTTTGCCATTAACATGCCCATACTATGATTCATTGCAACAGGTTTATTTATTCCTTAAATATTGCAGAAACTTATAACATGTATTTGCGCGAGCTGTATTAATTCCGTTGTAGATCTGGTCTTGATGACAGCAAAAGTTTAGTTGAAGCAATCATTTTCACTGATGACTGGAGTACTACTAAATGAGTAAATATTCAAAATATTTAAATTCAAATCCGATATTATCATATAATTTTGAAATGTGAGTGTAAATTTTAAAGACATTACGTATTGCTTGAACGGTTGATTCAAGGTCAAACAGAGAACTGTTTAGACACTTTGCTTGTAGTCAAAACGGATCTACCAGTTCATTTTACAATATATTCAGCACTCATTGTCCTCAGGCGGATAACTCTCTTACATTTACATAACTTATTTTTTAAGGATGGTTCAAGCTTACGTGTTTAACTTTATTAATACTTTATTAAGCACAAACTACACCCATAAGAGGGTCAAAGGCATAACAATTACATGCATAACAACAATATAATGATGACATTTATATTCACATCAAAATAAAACAAAATATTAAACACACAACACAACAAATGACCTCAAGTGCCCCCTGACCTCAGTTTCATTAAAAATCATTATTTCTTTTACATAATAAAAAGAAATGGGATTCATCATCCACAACTTTGCACTTATTACAAAGTCTTTGAGGGCGTGGACTATTTTTATATCTTCCAGTTTCAATAGCGAGAGAATTATCACTAATTCTAAATTTGCATATAAGTTTTCTTGTATCAAGATTAGGGCTAGGGTATGTCAAATAAAATTCTTGCTTATATTCAGTTTTTATATGCTTTACACAAAAGAAGTTCAAGTGTCAAGAGATGATATCTAATTGTCATATATTTCTTTATATCTTTGCTGAAGTTCATTTTTATAGTATTTTTTACTAATTAAAAATTCTTACAGGCTATGTATTTGTTTTTAGTGTCATCTTTTGGGTTTGCTAATATTATTGTCGGACCTAATATGATTTACATATGAGTATCATGAGTATATACCTTGATCATGTAGTGACTTTAAAAGAGAGTAACACTCTTTAAATAAATCAGATGAGTTTTTACTCAAAAGTCGATCTTCATACAAAGGCGACTGCGTGGAAATGAAACAATAAAGAGGGAATCTTCCTAATTCAGATCTAGAGGCAATGTTACTGGCACATTTCTTTATTCCAAGTGTAAATTTACAAAACTTATTGTGAATTTTTCAGGGGGACTCTTATCTATAAAATTGAGTTTATCCGAAGGAGAATTATTTTTCTTGCTCTAGCAATTGCATTATAGTATATCTGTACACATCCATATACCAAATTTCACAATTATATATACTATGTAAGAATAGGACAATCCAAAGAATCAAATAAATGAACAGACAAAGGACAAGGTACGATAAGGCCTGTTTTTGGCCCCCCATTTACTCATTTTTCAAATTCTTTTTTGGAGAGCTACTTATTATGTTGAAATATTCCCAGATGCTTGAAGTTTGTTTGGATGAACTTCAAAACCACTTATTTTAGCAACTGGGTGAGGTGAGGGGGGTAAACTTTCTGTTATTATTCAAATATTGTCAATATTATTCACTTTGCAGGTGTTCCGTACGACGAATTTTTAGTTTTTAAGTGCCTGCGCCGACGTGACCCAGTAATTTTTTTATTCCAAGTTCATAAGCACTGTTTTTGATGTCTAAATCGCCGTAATTTTCTCCGGGTCACGTAGGCGCACCCTATTCAATTTTAGGAAACCATGACCAAAAATCGTAATTTTTCCTTCTTTTGGCGTTTTTGATGCTCTTTGACCCCCCTATACTAACCTATTTTCTGAAATAAATGGTTTTGAAGTTCATCCAAACAAACTTCAAACCTAAGGGAGTATTTTAACGTGATAAGTAGCTTTCCAAAACAGAATTTGAAAAATGAGAAAATAGGGGGGCCAAAAACGGGCCTTATCGTACCTTGTCATTTGCTGGTAATTGGTTCAGACCACTTGATAGCTTTTGATAGAGTACATAACTTTAAGAGCTTATTTGGAAAGTGCTTCCGCAGATGACAATAAGTTTCCATTGTGTGAGAGCAAGTTGCCTAAAAATTTAAATTCATTTACTGATTCTAAAAAAGTGTGCTTGCAATTAAATATTGTAATTTGCGTCTTTTTATGACGATGAGCAACAACCATAGTCTTAGTCTTTTTACAAATAACAGTGAGTTGCCATTTATCACAGTAAGAAGAAAATTTATCTAAGCTTTCCTGAAGACCTTCTTTTGATTCTGACATTATTAATATATCATCTGCAAACATTAAACTTCCAATATATCTTTTATAAAAATGCATATTGCAAATTACTTTCAGTGTTAACCGTAATGTGACTCGAATTATGTTTCTTCCTAAAATTTCATCAAAATACAAGTCATTAATATTTGTACTTTTCGAAAATACATCGAGTATGCCTTATTTTGTAAATTACGGATGATATTCATATTCTTCATCATCATTAATAGAAATTCCAGAACACAGTATGCGATTTTGTTTTTAATGTTATTTCATGATTTAAATCCACTATACCTGCGTACTTCTAACTAATAGGTGTTTCATGTGCATCACTCAAGACAATTAGGTTGTTATTTGAACTTACTGATAATAGGATCTACTTAATGAAGGAACTGGAATTTTGAAAAGACGTAACAAAAATATATTAAATAACAGACACAATGGATAAGCATAGGATCATGAAAAAGACATAATTCAGTCTCTGGGTTCATGGTATCTTTTTAACAAATCAACGCTTATCAATTGTATTCTCTTAAAACATCTAAATGATCACAGTTTAATTGAAAAAAAAATGTACATGTACCTGCTATTCAGAAATAGTAATGTTTTAACAACCTAACATCGACAATAAAACAGCGAGAATATACCAAGGGATCAAGAAAACCCCATATATAGGTCGCTAAGATAATAATCCCAGGATAACACAATAATCAAATCAAAACCGATTAATTGATTGATTGCTTGCTTAACGTCAAATTGAAAATATTTCAAGCATGTAAAGAATTATATATTAATACTCATATAGTTTTTGCAATCGTTCTTTCCGTGGAGAGAGCGTGGCACTCTTTTCTTATCTAATGTCGTACGAAAGAAGAATAAGGGATGACTATGTTTCTATACCCCAGTCAACATTTTTGTGGTTCAAGACAAGACAAGACAAACAACAGCCCACACAGCACTACATAGAAAACTATTTATTTCATAACACGAACCCTATTAAACTGGTTGAATGCTAATAATCTAGAAGAATCAACAGCATCTGTGACACCAGTAACACCCGTCATGTTTCTACTGTTCAAATAGGCCGATGAGTCAGCGGATTGTCTAATGTATCTTTGTAGGTACAAATACAAGTGCATAATGTACCGGAACGTGTTAATTCTCTAACCCTATAATTTTACTGAAGCGGACATTTGGAATGAAAACACCAAACAAAATAATGGCTCGAATATAACACTGAAAATTAAAGAAAACCGACCTCATGATTATTTTTAGATGTAAGTCAAGACTTTGACACCGACTTGTTAATACTGTCAAACTATTACATGTATATATTTTTTCCAGGTGTTCCGGAAACAGACTGTGACACAAAGCCCTTTCTTACACGATTTAAAAACTGGGGGAATCACATCTATAACTGGCCGTGCCATGGTTCACGTGTTAGACTGGTTTGCGTATTTGGAATAGGAGATTTGCCATTGCTAGCTTCAAGACCAGAAATGTTTGCCAACAAGTTTTATCTCCATTACCAACCATATGCCTTACAATGTATGGACCAGTTAATTTACAATCGAACAAGGGACGAATATTTCAATGCTTTGAAATTTGACGTAACTAAATATCAGTCGTTAGAATTTATTAAACATACTGTATGAAATTTCAAATATACTGACGGGCATTAAAAACGCAACACTAGATTATTCTTTTTCTTTTTTTTTATGAAAAAAAAGCAATATTAAATCAATATACAAAGTAACATACATTACTTTAGTGTCTGAATAAGGTGAGCTGTTCGAATGTTTGATTAATTACATCACGTTTAATGTTCAAATCATGTGGAATGCACTGAAGGCCTGGTTTTCTCCTTATCAATGACTGCTTAGAACCAGCACCTAAATGATTGACAGAAAAGTCAACCAGTTCTATTGGGCATGTTTTGCGTGTTGTTTAGTCACTTCTGATTTTGCCTCTGTTCCACCCATTACAGTCTGTTTTGTCAATTATGTGGTTTAAACTGTGGCCCTTAAATGGTTTTCTGCAGTTGATTCTATGGCATTTCAGTATGTGACAAACATTTATGGGGTGAATCTGTCTCCCATGACATATGACGACTTGTTAAGCAGTTGAGGTTGCAATAGTAGACATGCCTCCAAAATGGCGTTGCATGAAGAAATTTTATTGACGTGGCAATGTCACTACAGGTTTATCTAGTCATGGGTGGTCATTAACTAATCCAGTCTGTCTGTACCGTTGTTGTAAGGACTGTAAGAGGAGTTTCTAACGTGATATGTACCGATTATCAGGTTGTCTGCATATTGATATTGTAAAATATCAGCTGCGAGTCACAATATGAAGTTTTTTGTCCAGTGTGCGCAGCGAAAGAGTTCAAAAAGGCTTCATATTGTGTCATACAGACGATATTTAACATTATCAATATGACGAAGATCTGATAATCGATTTATAGGTTGTATTTGTGTATTTTGCATGACAGAAACAAGTATTTTCCTTCGTTTCACCAGCAAACCGGAAGATGAAGTTTTAAGAAAAAATAATAGGGAGTCCCGGCGCGGCCTTACCAAATTGTGATGTGTACTGAAATTGTGCTCGTGTGTAAACAACGAATGGTAACGTCATGTGACCACATCAGTTCTGTTATCCATGTTCCAGTTTAAAATATTTCATATTTATTTTTCCTGGGTAAACCAGGTCTGTGTCAATTCGTCCCGAGCTGAAAATTTGTCAATGACAGTAGAGGTTGAAAAATGGCGGTTCCGAAGACAGAAAATTAATGATTTGAATTTCTTTTTCAACAACACATTACTTTGACTTCTTATATTTTTCAAATAATTTTAAAACTCATAATATCATGTATACCGCTCATGATACGTTTGGTTTCTTAAAATTTCACAAATTCACGATTTCCTACCGGGTTGTCTTCCGCGGGGAATTTTTTTCTGCGCAGCGACATCTGTTGACGGCTTGCCCAGAAATTATCTCTACTTGATTCTCGGCCGTAATAAACGGGATTTTAACGGACAAATCACGGATTTGCTGTCCGGTGCTAAATATATATATATATAATAGTACAAATAAGTTTGTTCATGAAAAGTGTCAACAAAAGTAACTCGTAAATTACTATCGGAACCGCTTCGTCAGAAATTTCGACACATCGAAGTGGCATATTTGCGTATTACAGCGTATTTAGTGGCACAAATTTGACACAGGCCAGTTCATTAAAAGCCTCATCATATATTTAAAATTCAGCATAGGTTCCCCAGAAGTTAAGAAAGAAATTTCAACTTGTGTGTTGAAAAAATTGACGCGGCGGGTGACGACCTGGGGTTTGAAGGCTTCGTATTCTAATTCAGTACGTTTAATCAAAACAATTTGTATGTTAGAACTTCTAAAACGAATATGCAGTTGGCATTTATAACGTACTGCATGCTTTGATTTCATTTGATATGACTTTTTGGAGGAAATAGACTCGTTTCAATTGATGAAAAAGTGACAAAAAAATGCCCAAATATGGTAGTCTCATGACTTCCATGGTTGTCTATAGAAATGGGGTCAAACCGGGGTCAGCTTTCCGACTGTTTATAGCATGTGACACAACATAACAAAATAGAAATAAACAATATTCAACAAGATCATTAATATATACAGTCCGCCAAAAGTTAAGCACCGCCTATATATAACTGTCAATATTTTTTTAACTATTGCGAAAAAAATATTTATGTTTGGTGTTATGAATTGCCTATAGCATACACTTAGAAAATTCATTACGACCAAAAAAATTAAACTCCGATATACCCGCCAAGCAACCTTTTATTAAAGGTCATCTGCACTTTTACAAATACACTGTTTCGATGCCTTTAAATCATCTTCCTACTGTCCCGCGTACACATGAAATTTGACCTTCACCAAGTCACTGTGAAATATGGCAAGCCGTAAGTTATCTGTGACTGAACGTTGACAAGCAATTGACATGTCAAATGCCGGTAGGAGCACTAGGAGCATTGGTAACCATTTCAATGTTAATCGCACCGTCATTGTCAGATTTTTACAACGTCATATTGACCCAGGAACTGTAAATGATGGACCAAGGTCCGGAAGACCCCGTTTAACTACCTATCGTGATGACAGACTACTTATTGGTCGTGCTAAAGCCAACCCATTTACTCCTGCCCCATAGCTTAGACACCACTGGCCTCCAGGTGGTCGTGGTAGTGTTCGAACATTGGTCCGTCGACTTCATAGAGGCTACATAAGAGCACGTCGTGTTGTCAAAAGACGTGCCCTAACAGCCAGGCACCGTATAATCAGGTTTCAAAGGGCTAATGCTCATCGACGATGGAACATGAGAACCTGGCAAAATATTCATTGGTCAGATGAGAGTTGATTTCTGTTACGACCAATAGACGGCAGAATACGAGTTTGGCGGGGAAATAAAACTGCCTATCCCCAAAACAACAAGTGCCCAACGACACTGAGCAATCGTTGATGGTGGTGTTACAGTATGGGGTTTCTTCTCATACTGTTGTAAGCTGGGTATGCATATTTTGCAGGGTAACGTGAACAGACAGACATGCAGGGATTTGGTGCTTAGAAACATTGTAGTCCCTCATTTTGAGAATCCCCAACTTGCGTCAAGACCCTCTTACATGGACGACAACGCTAGATCACACAGGGCAAGGATTGTAACCGATTACAAAGATCAAGAAGCCATTGACACTATCTTTTGGCCTTCAATGTCTCCAGACCTGAACCCTATCGAACATGTCTGGGATGCCATTGGCAGAAATCTCAATCGTTGAGATCCACCTTTGCAAAATCTTGGCGATTTAAGAGGGGCAATTGTTGATGAATGGAATAAATTTGCTCAACTAAAGTTCAGAAGGCTTGTACAGAGTATGAGACGCCGTGTTATGGAACTGTACCGGAAGAGAGATGGTTACACATCCTATTGACTTAAATATTGACATTAAATTTGCCGAACATACCAAAGATTATTTGTAGAGACTTTTAATGATTTTGGGTGATTATTTGTTGTAAAAAAATAAAATCAAAGTAAAACTTAAATTCCGTTTCTGATTTGTGTAATTTTCACTATTTCTATGAACGCAAAGTTCAAATGCATAGAACCTGCGTCAGTGACCAAACTTAAGTTTATGGTTTGTTTATGGCATATGTTAGCAAAATTGCTACATGAATATTTTCTCTTTTTCGAGGATTAACTGGTTTTTTTAAATGAAAACAATTTCGATGCAACAAAGATAGGTGGTGCTTAACTTTTGGCGGACTGTATACATAATAAAAGTAAATAGTTCAAGAGTCCCCTGTCCTCAGTTCTATAGACTGTTTTAAAAAAGATCCGAGCTTATTTACCTGAATGTGTGATCTTAGGTTGAGAATATATGTAATTTTATCTATATATATCATTTAAATCTGTAAATTGCATATTCTCATTTATCAAAAAATCAAAATAAACTTTTCTATTATTACTGTTACTGCCACAATATAAAAAGAAATGAATTTCGTCTTCAATTTTTATGCAGTTTTTGCATAATCATTCTTCTCTTGGTATTTTAAGATATCTTCTCTTTTCTATTAATAAATTGTGGTCACTTATTCTAAATTTTGTTATCAGTTTTCTAAATTCAAATTTTGAGCAAGTCAAATATTTTTCTTCTGTATTTTTTAGTTTTACATGTTTATAAATAGTGCGTTTGCTGTTATCCTTTATATCTGATATTTTATCCTTAACTAGCTTTTCATAAAAATGCTTCAATTTCAATTTTATTTGTTCTCTTATAGTTTTAGTTTTCTTATGTGAGGAATATTTCTTCAAAGTGACCAAATCCATACCGGTTTCTTCTCATACAAGTTTTACATATGAAAACCAAGAATAGATTCCCAATAGATAAAACAAAACAAAGGATTGATCATGATTTTGTAAAAAAATAAATCACCAAAATGTGTGTTACGTTCTTAGGTCCGTTAGTATACTTAGGTCTACTTTAAAGCAGTTCAACCATTCGAAACTCTTTTGAGATATTGTTCTCGAGATTACAATTGAAACGTAACATGATATAGATTGGTCTATATTCGGACTAGTTGAAGTAGGTTGTCTGTGGAAGATATTTTGTTGATGTTCCTTACTTCCACTTACTTTTCTATGTGTGAATAAAAGGAAATAAGGGTATACAAGTCAATGAGATAGCAATCCAATGACACAAATAAAAAAGGAGGGTACAGTATAGTCTTCACTTAATTATTTGCAATTTAGCTATTACTATGATTTTCTTCCGGCTATGAAGCTGCACCTTTTCTCCTGAAGGTGGTAAAAAATAATTGTGCTGGAGAATTACTGCTAATATATTCATGATTTTGCTCTTCTAAAAGAAACAAATTGCGCAAATTTGTTTATTTTTTCATTCCACAGAGTGTATTCAATATGAAAGAAAACATTTCAAAACGAATTATTAATAAATGAAATTACGACAATCAATGGGGTGACATTTGACGCAAAACCAACATAAAAATGCAGAGAAATTAAAATATTAAAATAAAACCCTAAACGCCTTTGTAATAATACAATAAACTAGCATTGGAAACATGAGGAAAACAGAGCCAGGTACAGTTTAACCATACTTACAAATTTATTTATTTTGAAAAAATATTTGCGTACTCCTAACAA